GACTGGGACATTAGCCTTAGAAGCTTATCTCACACTAACCCAGCACAGCAAATGGGTTCTGAGTGGCACAAAGCCCAAACAGCAGAGTGAGGATTCCTTATGTTTATAAAATGGTGAAGAGAAAACTAAGCCCCCCAAGATAAGAAAGCAAGCAAAGAACACCAGTAACCAAGTTACATTATAGATAGATAGACAAGTACTCTCACTAGCTAAGAGTTTCTGGCTGTTGATGCCCTGAGAGGGAGGGCAGGAAGGGTCCTCAAGATTAAGAGCTCTTGGCAGCTGCTGGGAAGTTCCCGCAATCCCTGCCACAAGCAGTTGGGCCCCCCAAAGCGGGACATGCCCCGTCTTTAAACAAATTAAACCAAACAATAAGGAGACACAAAACATCAACAGAGACATTCTTATATACAATATTTACAGGCATGCACAACCCACAGATAAGAACTTCATACCGAGACAACCAAGATGGCGGCACAGGTAAACACCTGAACTTGCTGCCGTGCACAACCACATTAAAACTACAACTAAAAGACAAAACAAATATCATCCAGAACCATGGGAAGGCTGGCTGAGTGGAAATTCTACAACTAGAAGGAAAGAGAAAAGCGCATTGAGTCCGGTAGGAGGTGCAGAGGTGTGGAAGTGCGGAGGTACGGAGGCGCGCAAGAAAGGGGCTGGCAGCTGGGTACACTGTTGTCTTTTTTAATCATTGATTCCAACTTTGGCTTTGTGACCACCAATGCATGGATGGCTTCCTTGTCCCTGTCTGTTCTGAGCTCCAGCTCTCTGTGTTCAGGAGTCCATCAGACATTCTGGCATGGATGATCCATAGCTCAAGCCCACTAGGAACTGTTCTTCCCCCTATACATGCTTCCTTTCCAGGTATCCCTATATTATTATGTGTGCCACCTTCCTATTTGTTCAAGTGAAGACTGCCCAGTAAAGTGTCAGAACTAGGACTAGAACCTCACACTTTCTACCTCTTCAAAGAGTTCAGCTGAGAGGCAGACATTACTCTTTTAGCCCTTCCCTCCCATACAAACAAGCCCATCATGTCTACCTTTGAAATTCAAATTTGGGCCAGGCACCAACGTGACTCTAATGAGAGAGTGTCCAGTTCTTATTTTGAAATACCTATATTATATGTGGCTTCTTTTGCTGCTCTGAGTAGTGGCAATTTTCATGGGGTAAGCAGAGTGGAGAGAGAAGGAAGGAAAGTAAAGGAGGGATGGCTCCCTGAATTAGTTACTTCAGGTGCTGTAAGAAAGACCTAAAACAACAGTGACTTATGCTAGAATAGATGCTTATTTCTCACCCATGTGACAGTCGGGGTAGTCCAGGGCTGATACTAAGCCCTGCAGGAGCCTTCTGTCTTGCTGCTCTACAATCCCTAGGGAGCTGCCTTTGGCAGCATGGCCCCACATCTGTGTTCCAGCCAGTGGGAAGGGGGAAGAGAAAAGAGGCTACATGCCTTCTCTTTAAGGGCATGATCCAGAAGTTGTACACATCAGTGGCTCTCACATCCTATTAGCTAGAAAATGGTCATATGACCACAGCTAGCTGCAAGGCAGGCTGGTATATGTAGTCTTTAGCTGATCGGCCATGTGCCTAACTAAAAATTCTACAGAAGAAAATCCAGTGGGAAGGGGGAAGAGAAAAGAGGCTACATGCCTTCTCTTTAAGGGCATGATCCAGAAGTTGTACACATCAGTGGCTCTCACATCCTATTAGCTAGAAAATGGTCATATGACCACAGCTAGCTGCAAGGCAGGCTGGTATATGTAGTCTTTAGCTGATCGGCCATGTGCCTAACTAAAAATTCTACAGAAGAAGAAAAGATTAGGTGTAAGAGGAAAACTTGTCATTTCTGTCATAGTGATTTTGTACATTTCAATGTGACCTGCATGGCACCTAATTGGCTAACCTTAACTAGTACACAAAGGCTAACCACACTAATGAAGTTCTAATAGCATCCAGCAAAGCTCTTCATTTATGGATGGAAACATTGAGCTCAGAGAGGGAAGTCACCTTTGAAGACTGCCCAGTAAAGTGTCAGAACTAGGACTAGAACCTCACACTTTCTACCTCTTCAAAGAGTTCAGCTGAGAGGCAGACAGGCAGTGCCAGGAGGACGCAGGCTGGGGAGGAGCCACATTTCCCAGTCTGTCTATTGGGGGAGTACTAATCATTTTTCAGGACTCAGGATTATCATGTCTCTGAGGTGCCTCCAGGTGACCCTCACTGCATCTTTAGTACAGTGAACTGCAGTGATTCCCTATTGGAATGCAGGCTCCTTGATTTTAGTCATCTCTCTGCCCTAGCACCTGCCTAATAGTTAAATGCATTATGGAATACATGAATGACTGTATATCCAAGGACTCCTTCAATGGCAGGTAATAGAAACTTAGTTCAAACTGGCTTAAGAAAGAAAAAAAAAAAAGACTGGCTGAAGCACTGGGCAGTCTAGGTGTGCAGCATAGATTTGACACTGGATACATTGCTTGACCCTTCTTCACTTCTTTGTGGGAAGTGCTGCCCAAGCACCCCCTGCAAGGGTTGGGAGGAGGCTGGAGAATAAGGGCAGCTGCTAGTAGCATTGGTTGGGGTAAGGGGTCCCTCTTGGGCACCCCCAAGCCCAGGGCATCTTGATATAGAACCCAGTCTCGGCCCTTGTTGTTTTTGGTTTTGGTTTTATGGGGGTCACATCTTGGGTCATTTCTCAGGAGCTTCCCTGTGGCTCCACATCAGGGAGTTGGACATGCCTGCTGTACTCTCAGGCTAAAGGTGGCCTGGGCCCTCACTCCTGCTTCTTTCAGAAAGCCCAGGCACTCTGGTCTTTCCTGGCAGAGCTTGGAGTTCCCACATTCAGCCAGGACTGGGTTAGGGAAGGGAGGGGCAGGAGGAGGGAGGAATGGCTGGCTGGTGACTCACTGGAGG